AGGCGGCGACGCCTAGACTGTTTTGAAAGCTTGTTTTGGATTCGTGCTTATGTCGGCTTTGCTTTTGTATTTACGTCGGCGATGCCTTGCATTGCATGTCGGCAAATCTTGAAAATCATGCTTCTTGACGTTTTTTTATTTATTTATTTTTATTTCGAGTTTGATTTTTGTAATCAAACAAATTCTCTCATTTCCTTTATTTCTTTATATTCTGGTTGTTGTTTAGTACACAACAGAATTTAATTTATTTAAATACAGTGAAGATTGTCCAACACAAACAAGTAATGAAGCATGACATTCAAGTAAATAAGCAAAAGGTTACAAAGTTAGATGTAAATAATCTAGAAATAGGGATTTCATCCTCCTAACCTAACCGCAAGAATTGGATTCGGATTATTCGGTATACCCCATCTTTTGTTGCTTTGTAGACCTTATCCCGGATGCCTACAACAATTACATACCACGTAGCACCAACTGAGGATCTCAAAAGATACGGTAAAAATAAGGGCCAAGCCCATAACCGCCTCCAACCTTATCCATCATAAATACCTAGGGTCCGAATACAACGGTCCATTCAAGGGTTCCGAAAAAATCATTTGTGCAAGACTTAACCTTCAATTAGGGAACACGTCCCATCAATCCATACTTGAAGTTAACATATTATCATATCATTATTATTCAAGTGATCAAAAACCCAATACCACCCAATTTAGTTTCTCCTTGAGTTAGATGTTTTAAGTGAATGTTAGAATAAGCTATTGAGATTATAATTTGCATACACGTTTGAGCATCATCGAAGCACCATGACAAAGAAACATAGACATAAAAATGTAAAAATCATACTAAAGCCCAAACAAGTGATAAGAAGCATATTCATGAAATTTTAAAGTATGAAATCATAAGCAAACATAAATTTCCAAATTAGATACTCTTTAAAGATTACAATCTAAGAGACATTTCTTGACTTTTTCCGAACTCGGCCTTTCTATGGTTTGTAGAGAATTTTATCTAGTTTCTATGTCATTTTTCAAAAACGAGATACCTTTCCTAAATTTTTCGATGGTGCTACAAGAATCAATTAATGTACATACTAGTGTACCAACTAGTGTTATGTCAGTATTACTGACCCCACCTATTATACAAATTACAAATATCCAAAACCTCTCAAATTATGCTTCATCATCTGTTAGTATACTATTTAGTACATTAATTGGTATATATAGCATTATTCTAATTTTTTAGTTATTAAAGAAATACTCTAACACTGTTCAGATTCGTCGATTGTTACGAAAATCGGATTTTTCTTAAACCACTCACTTTTTTTCAATAAAACCATTTTTAATTGAAGGATAACATTTTTTTAGAATTTTTGAAAGTGGGCTGAAAATATCTATCTTTTTTGCACAAAGCTTGAAGTAAGAAGAGTAATAGAAAAAGAGGGCAACTATGAGTAATTTTCCATTTCTCTTATGACGAAAACATGCTAAATAGTATATAAATAATTCAGATTTTTAGAATGAAGGTATGCTTTCGGAAATAATGTGAAAAATGAGTAGAAAAATATAGTTTTGTTTCCATTAAGTGAAAATACAAATAAGGAAAGAAACAATGCTATAATTGCTTTATTCAAACACAAGAACATTATGAATACATATTTGAAAATGATACATTAAACTTCTAAGATCATGTATTTGAATGAGAAAATAAAAGAGGGTTGTGCTGTGACTTGCTTGTTTGCATAGGAAAGGTGTTATGCAAGAATTGCTCACTTTTCTTCCTCCTCCTCCAAAGTTCTCACTTTCTCTCCTCTTTCCGTCTGCTCAACCAAAATATAGAGTGTGTGTATGTGTTTGTTGTGCCAAAAGTGTTGAGGGAGGTGGTGTATTTATAGGAAAATTGCGGTGAAATGTCCAAAATACCCATTGATTTCAAATGAATTGAATAGTCTTAGATTTATTTAGAATAAAATGGAATGAGGGGTGATTTAGATGGTTAATCATGGTTTAATTATGGCTTAAATCTCATTTGGTTGGAATGGAACTAGATGGCTAGATTGGTACAAAACAAGTTTCCAAGTTTTGGGGTACTAGCTCACTTTTTTCCTTAATTTCATAGATTTTGCTTCGAAAAGTACATCACAAACTTTCTTCAAGAGGGTGGCCGGCCATGTGCATTTGATCAAGGGATTTGTATCATCTTTTTGGTACATATATGTGTATATATATATGTAGATATTTTGGTAGAAAAAGATTAAAATAATAATTTGTATTTTTATATGTATAAAGAATGATTTGAGGTCAAAATAAAATTAAAAAAAAATGTAAGGGCTTGGGTTTAATTAGAATATCTATTTCAAGTTTAGTATTAATTAAAATAGTGTTAGGAAAAATAATTTAGTTTGAATTATCTTAATTTGAATTAAAAGACGCGTAACCAAATGAAAACGATAGAAACTGAAAACTAAAGTTTTGAGCGATCAATCTATAATTAGAGAGTTAAGTAATTAATATTAGAGTGTTAGAAACGACTACTAAGTTACGGGAGTCGATTAGGATTTGCACAGTTTCATCCGGGATTTGTTTTCAATTCTAGGGTTAAAATTATAAATAAGAAGTTGAGGACTTTTATTATAATAATTCAAAAGTAAGGGCCTTACTAGGATTTATAAAATTTAGGGGTCTCACACCAGCGATGATGAGTGGTGGCTGGGTTTTGGATGGAGAATTAGGATTTAGGGTAATTTGGTACTTTTATTTTAGGACAAAAATATAATATAAAAAAATTCGTCGAGTGCGGATTGAGAGATTTGGGGTGTGAAAATATAAGCTCCCTACAAATTGAAGAAAATAAGACAACCTATTCACATCTTCACTGCACAAGCTAATTTATTTCATTCCCGTTGGATACCACCACCTGCATATGCATGTATTACCTGCGATTCCACATTAATTAGTTTGAAAATGGTTTGCCAATAAATTAAGACAAAGTGGTTAGTCCACACAACACATGTAATGTAACAAAGGCAATAATTTAAACCTGGTTTTGAAGTTTGTAGAAAAAGATATAGATAGATTCACAACTGCGAATCTTTGGCAATAATAGAATACATTAGAGAGTGATTGCTGTGACACATGTTAGAAGCTCTCGATCACAAGGTGTGTTTGACACTTCCAACATAAAATTAAAGGATAAAATCTGTTACATAACCATGTATGTATACACTTGCTTAATTCCTGATAAGAAAAATAAAATGGAGAATCAACTTCTCTTCCTTGATATTTACATGCAATTTCTATGTTGTCCACTACCAAAGTCAATGATTCATCAGCATGGCCTCCAGTCTCCTCTTCCTTGCAGCATGTTTTAGTTTCTCTAGTGCAACAAGTCCGATATGCCTAACTCTATCCCTGGACAATCCTATCCTGGAGGGTTGGACATAATGACATTCAAAACTACTAAGTTAATTTGGACCCAAAAAAGAAAAAAATATGAAAGCAAAAGAAGGATTTCAATAAACAGGCAGGGAAATGGACCTAGAAATCACAATGTCACCAATGTAAAGGTTCAAAAGAGTGCATGATTGAGTTCATAGATGCATTGCACCATGTTAATATTATTGATCATTTCCTTTGGTTGCCTAGTTAGTTGTATCTATAAATGGAAATTTGAATCATGTCAATATCACCACACAAATTTTTGCATCAATCAGAGGGCTAAAGTTCATCTGAATAATTTGATTATAGACCACATGCAACGATTTAAAAGTAAAAAGTGCTCCCCTATAATATAGCTTTAGCATCAGCATTCTTTCTTTAATTTCAAAAGCATGCATGACAGAATCAACTCCAGAGCATTTTTAAATTATTGATCATTTCCTTTGGTTGCCTAGTTAGTTGTATCTATAAATGGAAATTTGAATCATGCCAATATCACCACACAAATTTTTGCATCAATCAGAGGGCTAAAGTTCATCTGAATGATTTGATTATAGACCACATGCAACGATTTAAAAGTAAAAAGTGCTCCCCTATAATATAGCTTTAGCATCAGCATTCTTTCTTTAATTTCAAAAGCATGCATGACAGAATCAACTCCAGAGCATTTTTAAAAGTATGTCTATATATCATCAGCATATTTGGCCACCTGAGAGATGTCATGGATAGTGTTTAGCAGTACCCACCATCTACTAATATCCTCCCAAGTAAGGCATTCACTGTCCAGGCCATAGTAAAGACGTATAATAACTCTCTCCCGTTCTCTTAGTGTTGTACTAATAAGCTTATTTACCTCATCCTGCAAAATAAATTGTTCGTGCTAGTTTGAAAAACAACATTATAAGATGTGCTGTATTTACAAAAACTAGCTACAAAGAAAAGCTAAAAAAAGCCATTTGGCATATTTTAGAATCTCAATGCATGTAGAAAATAATTTTCTACATTTTAAAAGAAATAAGCATATATGCATGCATTTCCATGTAGATCACTTAGATTCCCCTTCTTCTCACTCTCTGTGAAATTTGATCATATCAATGTGTTGATTTTGAGCAGGATAATACGGAGATATTCATGGATGGGTGCCTTTTATCAGTCATTCGTTCATTGGCAGACAACCTACTTTCCTGCTCAGCATGGAATAATATTTCCACTGAACATTTTGCATTTTAAAGTTTTAAAAATTCTTTTTGTTACCTTACTAGCTTGAGTGCCCACTCATCTACTCCATGCCATCGATTGTTCTCGAGGTGATTATCTGCAAAGTACTGGAAAGATAGAAAGAGGAGTCAAACTTTTATCTCTTAGGTGGTATGTAGTGTCAATAAAAAGTTAGTATTCAAAAATTGAGTTGTTTCATAGTACATATGCACTTACACTACGAAGTGTTTCTCCTGGAAGGCCATTTAAAGAGGGGAATGCTTCCCTATCAAGAGAGAAGACCTTACTAATTGCCTACAAAGAGAGATATTTTACATTAAGCAAGGAGAAATCACACAAGGGATGAACCCTGGTATAACTGCAAAAACTACAAGATATTGAGACAGTATAAAGCTCAAAGTACTTGGCATCTCTGTTGCATTCCTGACTTTTGTTTGGGACATGTTCAGGCATGCCGCAATTCTCTGAAATGGGAGTGTGGAAAACAAGTGAATTAAACGAGAGGAGTTCACAAAATTAAAGCATGACATAGCTAAATCAGGATTTTTGATTAGCATGTTTTCATATATTTATATAGGTATGATGATGTGACACGCAAGAGTCAAGTAACAATCAATTAGGCTTACATCAATCGGTGGAGCAATTCCTTCCTCTTCATGTTTCGTCTTTGCATTACGGATTAAACTTAATCTTTCATGCAAATAAGTAGGCAATCTTAAGGTTCGTGCATTTTCAACTAATGCCCTCGAAACACCCTGCATGAAAGAGAAGTAACAGATCCTTCTAAGTTTACACACTGACAGAAGATCTATTAATGTGACTACAGGAATGTACTGTATACCCAATAAAAGAACAAAATTGACAAGATTCTGGGTTAAAAACACCCAATAAACCTTTTCTTTTATTGAAAACTAGGCGGCTTAAAAGTAAAATCATAGGAAATAATTTCTATGAGATGCATATGAATCCCAATATTTGGCCACAACCTAACATTGCTTCTCCAATAGTACCAGTGTTCAGAATGCAAAATGATTTCCAAATTTTTTGTAGCCGTAGAAAAAGTAGGACAACCTCTGAAAAATATTTTTCAAAAAACAAGTGAATAAAACGACATTCTGTGATGTCTTAAAATACAATGCTGTGAAAAAAAGAAGAGGTTTTCCTCAACCTCAAAAATGGAGTGCGAAAGACCGATATATTAGGATAAGGATTTCTCAAGTTTATAGCTATCATAAGGTCTCTAAATCTATTTTTGATAAAATTTGACTTATATTTTTTTCATAAAATTTCAATTTTATTTTTGTATTAACATTTAGATATTTTATTTGGTGCAGTGATGTAATACAAGTAAACATTCACCTCCAAAATGCACCTTTTATGTGTATTTTAAATTTGCGGAGTGTCATGATTTATATTATGACACAAAGTGAAGATGATGGTGCTATAGATCCTTTTAGAAAAATTACTGAATTTAAAATACTTGGTAAGTTATGAAAATATATATAAAACTTCTTTTACATATTTTTATCAATATGTATATATATAAACATTAATATTTTTCTTGTAATAGATCGTGCAACAAATGGCGAGGAGTAGCTAGCACTACTAAATTTGATAAGGAATATCAATTATAATGCTCAACTACAAAATTTCGAAGGCTTGGAAATGGGGAAATCAACATCTAACGTCCCAATTTTGAAGGTTTGATGTTAATTTCCCTATTTCCAAGCCTTTGAAATTTTGTAGTTGAGTTTTACCATTGATATCCCTTATGAAATTCAGTAGTGATATCCACTCGCCATTTGAAGCATGATCTATTACAAAAAAAAATATTATTGTTTATATATATACATACTGATACAAATATGAAAAAGAAGTTTTATATATATTTTCATAACTTACCAAGTATTTTAAATTCAGTAATTTTTATAAAAGGATCTATAACAACATCATCTTCACTTTGTGTCATAATATAAATCACGACACTCTACAAATTTAAAATACACATAAAAGATGCATTTTGGAGGCGAATGTTTACTTGTATTACATCCTTGCACCAAATAACATATCTAAATATTAGTACAAAAATAAAATAGAAACTTAATGGAAAAGATATATGCCAAATTTTAACACAAGTAGATTTAGAGACCTTATACCGGTCTTTTGCACTCCATTTTTGAGGTTAAGGAAAACCCCTTTTTTTTCACTGCATTATTTTAAGAAATCACAAAATGTCATTTTATTCACTCGATTTCTCAATAATATTTCCCGAAGCTGTCCAACCTTTTCTACAACCACAACGAATTGAAAATCATTTTGCACTATAAACACCATTACTATTGGAGAAGCAATATTAGGGTGTGGCCAAATATTGGGGTTCATAAGCATCTCATACAAATTATCAGCATCATCTAGTCTTTCAAAAGCCCTTACACTAACACACCTTTGAATGAAATTATTTAGCGTTGGATAAGGAAGAACAACAATGTATCCAACGTCAAATGATTTCATTCAAAGTCAAGGTGGACATGAGTGTATTAGTGTAAGGGCTTTTGAAAGACTAGATAATGCTGATAATTTCTATGAGATGCATATGAATCCCAATATTTGGCCGCAACCTAACATTGCTTCTCCAATAGTACCAGTGTTCAGAGTGCAAAATGATTTCCAATTTTTTGTGGCTGCAGAAAAATGTGGACAACCTCTGGAAATATTATTGAGAAAACAAGTGAATAAAACGACATTCTGTGATGTCTTAAAATACAATGCTGTGAAAAAAAGAAGAGGTTTTCCTCAACCTCAAAAATGGAGTGCGAAAGACCGATATATTAGGATAAGGATTTCTCAAGCTTATAGCTATCATAAGGTCTCTAAAACTACTTGTGTTAAAATTTGACTAATATTTTTTTCATAAAGTTACTATTTTATTTTTGTATTAATATTTAGATATGTTATTTGGTACAATGATGTAATACAAGTAAACAATCATGTCCAAAATGCACCTTTCATGTATATTTCAAATTTGCAGTGTCATAATTTATATTATGACACAAAGTGATGATGGTGGTGTTATAGATCTTTTTATAAAAATTACTGAATTTAAAATACTTGGTAAGTTATGAAAATGTATATAAAATTTCTTTTACATATTTTTATCAATATGTACATATACATATAAACATTAATATTTTTCTTGTAATAGATCATGCTACAAATGGCAAGGAGTGGCTAGCACTTCTAAATTTGATAAGGGATATCAATGATAATGCTCAACTACAAAATTTCAAAGGCTTGGAAATGGGGAAATTAACATCTCACGTCCCAATTTTGAAGGTTTGATGTTAATTTCCCCATTTTCAAGCCTTCGAAATTTTGTGGTTGAGCATTTTCATTGATATCCCTTATCAAATTCAGTAGTGCTAGCCAATCCTCGCCACTAGGAGCATATGATCTATTACAAAAAAAATATTAATGTTTATATATACATATATATTGGTAAAAATATGTAAAAAAAAATTTATATATATTTTTGTAACTCACCAAATATTAAAAGGATCTATAGTACCATCATCTTCACTTTGTGTCATAATATAAATCATGACACTCTGTAAATTTAAAATACACATAAAAGGTGCATTTTGGAGGTGAATGTTTACTTGCATTACATCCCTGCACCAAATAACATATCTAAATATTAATACAAAAATAAAATAGAAACTTTATGAAAAAAAATATAATCGAAATTTTTACACAAGTAGATTTAGAGACCTTATGATAGCTCTCTATAAGTTTGAGAAATTTTTATCCTGCTATACCAGTCTTTTGCACTCCATTTTCGAGGTTGAGGAAAACCACTTCTTTTTTTCACAGCATTATTTTAAGAAATCACAGAATGTCAGTCTATTCACTTGTTTTCTCAATAATATTTCCCAACGCTGTCCAACCTTTTCTACAGCCACAAAAAATTGAAAATTATTTTGCACTCTAAACAATGGTACTATTGGAGAAGCAATATTAGGATGCGGCCAAATATAGGGGTTCATAAGCATCTCATACAAATTATCAGCATCATCTAGTCTTTCAAAAGCCTTTACACTAACACACTCATGTCCACCTTGAATTTGAATGAAATCATTTAACGTTAGATAAGGAACAACAACAATGTATCCAACGTTAAATAATTTTATTCAAAGTCAAGGTGGACATGAGTGTATTAGTGTAAGGGCTTTTGAAAGACTAGATGATGCTGATAATTTCTATGAGATGCTTATGAATCCCAATATTTGGCCGCACCCCTACATTGCTTCTCCAATAGTGCCAGTGTTCAGAGTGCAAAATGATTTCCAATTTTTTGTGGCTGTAGAAAAATGTGAACAACCTCTGGAAATATTATTGAGAAAACAAGTGAATAAAACGACATTCTGTGATGTCTTAAAATACAACGCTGTGAAAAAAAGAAGAGGTGAAAAAAAGAAGAGGCTTTCCTCAACCTCAAAAATGGAGTGCAAAAGACGGGTATATTAGGATAAGGATTTCTCAAGCTTATAGCTATCGTAAGGTCTCTAAATCTACTTCTGATAAAATTTGACTTGTATTTTTTTCATAAAGTTTCAATTTTATTTTTGTATTAATATTTAGATATGTTATTTGGTGCAGTGATGTAATACAAGTAAACATTCACCTCCAAAATGCACCTTTTGTGTGTATTTTAAATTTGTAGAGTGTTATGATTTATATTATGACAAAGTGAAGATGATGGTACTATAGATAATTTTATAAAAATTACTGAATTTAAAATACTTGGTAAGTTATGAAAATATATATAAAACTTCTTTTACATATTTTTATCAATATGTATATATATAAACATTAATATCTTTCTTGTAATAGATCATGCTACAAATGGCGAGGAGTGGCTAGCACTACTGAATTTGATAGGGGATATCAATGATAATGCTCAACTACAAAATTTCGAAGGCTTAGAAATGGAGAAATTAACATCTCACATCCTAATTTTGAAAGTTTGATGTTAATTTTCTCATTTCCAAGCCTTCGAAATTTTGTAGTTTAGCATTTCATTGATATCCTTTATCAAATTCAGTAATGCTAGCCACTCCTCGCCATTTGGAGCATTATCTATTACAAGAAAAATATTAATGTTTATATATATACATATTGATAAAAATATGTAAAAGAAATTTTATATATATTTTCATAACTTACCAAATATTTTAAATTTAGTAATTTTTATAAAAGGATCTATAGCACAATCATCTTCACTTTGTGTCATAATATAAATCATGACACTGCAAATTTAAAATACACATAAAAGGTGCATTTTGGCGGTGAATGTTTACTTATATTACATCTCTGCACCAAATAACATATCTAAATATTAATACAAAACAAAATAGAAACTTTATGAAACAAATATAAACCAAATTTTAACACAAGTAAATTTAAAGACCTTATGCTAGCTCTATAAGCCTGAGAAATCTTTATCCTGCTATACCAGTCTTTTGCACTCCATTTTTGAGTTGAGGAAAAACTTTTCTTTTTTCACAGCATTATTTTAAGAAATCACAAAATGTCATTTTATTCACTTGTTTTCTCAAGAATATTTCCAGAGGCTGTCCAACCTTTTTTACAGCCACAAAAAATTGAAAATCATTTTGCACTATAAACACTGGTACTATTGGAGAAACAATATTAGGGTGCAGCCAAATATTGGGGTTCATCAGCATCTCATACAAATTATCAACATCATCTAGTCTTTTAAAAGCCCTTACACTAACACACTCATGTCCACCTTGAATTTGAATGAAATCATCTAACGTTAGATAAGGAAGAACAACAATGTATCCAACGTTAAATGATTTCA